GTCGATTTTCATCACTAAGTGGAAAATATCCCAAGTCTCGAGATTTTTTTCTTACATTTATCGGCGTTTTATTATGTTGAATTGGAATGGCGGTCGAACTCCGTTCCACTCGGAATCGCGGACTGATCACTCGCGCTACCATTTACGCTGCGTAACCACGTGACACACACAACACGTACGCAACGCGGGCGTAAACCGTGCAACTCGTACGCAACGCATCGAAGTGCAGCGTCGCCGGCCAATGAGTAAACGCATGCAGCCGCGTGTGCACGCACGCACGTGCGTGGCGATCGTAAAGAGAGAAGGAGAGGAGGAGGAGGAGATGGAGAGAGAAGAGTTATCGCGTACGCGGTGTCAATATTTATTTATGATGTCGCCGGAGGTCGCTTATTTATGATGTCGCGAAGTTGCTATTCAAAAGAATAACGGAATATCGTCAAATCGCGTCTCTTCACCATTGTAAAAAGAAAAGAAGAAAAAAAAAAGAAAGAAAGAAAGAAAAAGAAAAACTCACAAAAATGTCCGTCTTAGGAGTGTCTCACAAAAAATACCGTCTATCCGTTCTGGGCTTTCTTTCATTGCGAGTAAAATGAAATAAGTATAATGTCCATACTAATCCTCCCGTTCATCCAGGGAATTTGTTTCCTTTACGCACGACAACGTCTTTTATCTACAATACCCCCTCGGATCTTCGTGACTTTGACAATTGTATTTATGTATGTCCTTGTCGTATTTTCAAGTAAATGATTTTCAGAAATATGAAAAGATGATCGCTGAATATGCTTATAGTGTATACTCGGAGACCCTCGAGCATAGAAAGGAAACGGAGACAGTTAAAGGTGACAAAAATTGCGCAACGAAAGGAGACAGATCTGTATCTTCATAATCTACAAAAGGTTCCCTTAAAAACGATAACTGCGGAGAAACATCGTTGAAATGAAAGATTAAAATAAGTTTTGCGACGTTAGAGTCGCGAAACTCCCGGCTGTTAAATTCGACGATTAGATAATTGTGAAACGGAGCGCAAATTTTATGCTGAACAAGTACAATAAGAAGACCTACAGGGAGTCCGTTTTGTAGAAAATATTCGTGACATTTAATCATCTCTGTTTTTTATTACGATATTACTGATGGATCAGTAACAGTTATATAACACGAATGTAACGAAATACTTTCGATACTCCATTATCTTTCTCCAGAATTATTTATATAAGAAACATGCATGAAGTAAAATACGTAAAATTAAGGCAGCATTTTATTACACAACACGATCTTAGCATGACGCAAAAACGAGAGATGGATGATTCCAGGAGGATTCGAACAAAGAATCAATCTAACCGACATCGCGCGAATTAAACGTGTGTGTGTGTGTGTGTGTGTGTGTGTGTGTGTGTGTGTGCGCGCGCGCGCG